TTCCTGGTGCATGTTGTCTCTCTCCTCCTTTATAGTCCTCTTCCACCAATCCCAACTCTGCTACCCACACGCCGAGTACGCTGCTCTCCTCCAATCAGGAGCAGGTCCTGCTGTTTATTGGTTGTACTGGAGGCAGCTGCGTAGAAGTTGTTTACTCCTCCCCAGCGCCATATTGTGGGAGAGCAGATGCATAGAATAAGTCTTAATTCCAGCAACTTAGTCTAGTCCGAGTTGCTCCCCACAGGGGCGGGAGCTGCCAGCGTCCCAGGCCGCCTGTTCCTCCCATCAACTACAAGTCACCCATGAAGGGCCAGGAGGCATCACAACCAAGCAGCACCGTCCCGGCTGCCCTGCGGCCCCTCCACGCTGGCTCCCATCACTGAGCTCGTCCCTGCTCTCGTCCATCCGGATCCACAGCCACAGCCCTGGAGACCAAACCACCACTCGGGTGAAACCCCTGAACCTGCTGCGTCCAGAACCCAAGCAACTCCTTTGCTCCAGGACCAAGCCGCCTGGGCACTGCCTGGGGAAGACACCCACGGGCTGGGCACCGGCAGGCGTCCCGGTGGGACGGGAGCAGCAGCAGGCTGCGGGGGCCCCGCACCCACCAGTGTGAGCACCGCCGGGGTCCACGCGTCCACAGTGGGAGGGGCCTGGCCCCAGGCTTCCCCGCACGCCGCTCCGCAGCGAGTATTTTCTTCAGGATTCTGATAGGCGATGGGTGTGGTTGGGTTGATACAACAACAGAGAATACTTTGGAGAATTCTACTTCAGATCATTTCAATAGTAGTCTGCCCCAGTCGCTAATTAAGCCAGCTGACTACTCGCCGCTAAGGCTGCCGGGGCCACACGGGGCCTGGTTCCCAGGCGCTCCTGCGAGCACCCTGCAGACTCGGGGAAGGAAGACGGATGCGGTTCTCCCGCGCACATCGCGGCAGGCGTGCGTGTTGTCTTAAGGAAGCCCAGAGCTAATTTAGCTAATGCCCTAATTACCCACCAGCGCAGAAACAATCATTCCGCACCCCGCCATTTGTAAGAGTGAGCTCTGGGTGGAAGGCGGCGCAGGCTCAGCACTGCGGACACGAAGGCTGGGCCTCCCCCAGCTCTGAGGCCGCACGGGGCAGGACAGGCAGGACAGCAGACACCGCCCCCGCCCGTGAGTCTGGGCCTCACTTCCAGCTGCAGTCAGTTTCCTGCCTGTCAGGGCCCCTCCCCTCGGGGCCTGTGTCCCCGCCCACACCAGGCCAAGCCCGACCCCGGTTCTCCAGTGCTGCTGCCCTCACCATCTGGAGCCCCCTCAAGCCCCCAAGCTGGGTGGGCTCAGGTAACAGGGGCCACGCCTCCTCGGCCAGACAAGCGGCGGCCGCGAGCGCTTGTCTGTGTCAGGATTTTCAGTGTATTCTGTCACAGAGCTGTTTTTTCTCTGACTTGACTACCACGAGAATTTTTAAATTCCAGATTTCATGAAATGTTATTCTCACACAGACTGGAATAGCCAAGAGAAATTCACACTGTGAATGTACTGATAACGTCTGTTTTACACAAAGCGTTGCACAATTCTAACCGCAAGCTTTCGACCGCCACACTGGAGCTGAAGGACACACTCTTCCACCGCAGGCACCCTCCCTGCGGGACAGAGCTGAACACGGGACCCGTGCCTCCGCAAAGCCCAGAACTCCGCACAGACCACCGGCCAGGGCCACCACGCCACCGCGTGCCACGCCCCCAGCCAGCACTCACTCCGCACACCGAATCTCGGAACCTTCTGACCACCATGCGCCCTCCTTTCCACTCCACACTGTGAGTTCCGCTGTGCTACGTCCACACACAGGGAAGGGCACGCAGGCGCCATCTCCAGGCTCACCATCCCTGTGGCTGCCAACAGCAGGATTCCCTTCTCTTGTGACACTGACACATACATATGCACCTGTGGTCATCACATGTGTGTGTCAGAACATCACATGTGATCTGCGTTGCCACACCTGTGGCCATCACGTGTGTGTGTCAGAACATCACATGTGGTTGTGTTGCCACACCTGTGGCCATCACGTGTGTGTGTCACATCATGTGTGATCTGTGTTGCCATACATAACTAACACACATTTAGAACATTCCTTGTTCATCATCCATGCACACAGAGGCTGACTCCACACCTGGCTGTTGGGAACAGGTGCAGACGTCTCTCTGAGACACTGACTCCACGGCCAGCGTCTAGCACTGTTTTCCACGGGGGCCATCCCAACCTGCAGTTCCGCGGGGAGCACGCAGACACCCACTCTCAGAGCACCTCCTACCCAGGGGCAGAAGCAGAAACGCACAAGGTCAAGGTGAGCATGCTTTGTAACTGAAGAACAACTGGAAACAGCTCCAACGACGGTGACAGAATGGACAAACCGCAGCACATTCACGTAGTGTAAGACTACAACGCACCCAAACGAAACACCACTGCACTCATGGCAAGAATAGATATTAAAGCTCTAACGCTAAGTGTGTGTGTGTTACGGAAGGATGTTCATGTAGGACACTGCTGGTGGAGAGCTTAGCAGACTTCTTATCGCGACAGGACGCTCGTTTGTGGAATCATGCCTACACGGCAAACGTGTACCGGAAGCTGGTCATTTCCAGCTACTCACTTCTTACAGGAATGGAAGAGGCTTCAGTGGCTTATGTAAAATTTAATTTCTAAACAATAAATAGGGGCCGGCGCTGTGACGTAGCAGGCTAAGCCCCTGCCTACAGTGCCAGCATGCCATATGGGTGCTGGGTTCGTGTCTCAGCGCCTCCTTTTCCAATTCAGCTCTCTGCCCATGGCCTGGGGAAGCACTGGAGGACGGCCCGAGTGTTTGGGCCCCTCCACCCGTGCGGGAGACGCAGAAGCAGCTCGTAGCTCCAGAATGGCCCAGCTCCTGGCTCCAGATCGGCCATCTGGGGAGTGAACCAGTGGGTGGAAGACCTCCCTCTCTGTCTCTCCTTCTGTCTGTAGCTCTCCTCTCAAATAAATAAAATATTAAAAAAAAAAAAACTAAAGCAAAATTTAAAAAAAATTAAGTGACAACCTTGGGTCAAAACCACCAGGCATGCACCAGGTCAGGCGTGGGGAACGCCCAGCCCTGGGCGAGATCATTTGTTCCGGCCCTGCCAAGGTGACCACAGGCGAGACACAAAGTCAGTAAGTCTACAGCAGGCTAATTTCTAAGCTGGTAATTTTGTATGGCCTGCACATGATGGTATCAATACACGACGGCCCTTGACAGAGAGAAGCTCCCCATCTCTGCACTGGAGGATTATCTAGGCGTCTCTGTATATTTAACATTTTTATTTTTTTTAAAATTTTTCAAAGTGTGCACTTTATTATTTATTTGACAGGTAGAGTTATAGACAGAGAGACAGAGAGAGAGGTCTTCCCTCTGTTGGTTCACTCCCCAGATGGCCGCTATGGCTGGCGCTGCGCCGATCCGAAGCCAGGAGCCAGGTGCTTCTTCCTGGTCTCCCATGCGGGTGCAGGGCCCAAGGACTTGGGCCATCCTCCACTGCCTTCCCGGGCCACAGCAGAGAGCTGGCCTGGAAGAGGAGCAACCGGGACTAGAACCCGGCGCTCATATGGGATGCTTGCACCACAGGCAGAAGATGAACCAAGTGAGCCACGGCGCCGGCCCCCAACATTTTTCATAGTGTAGAAAAACAAGAAGACCCAGGACTGCTTGGAAGTGGACTTTCCTAAGCCTCAGCAGACATGGCACCGTCTCTGTGGCTCCGGCACCGGAGGGCCCACGTGACGGGGCGGGGGGCAGACAGCGCCCGAGCAGGCCCTGTCCTGGGGTCCCTGCCCCGAGAACTTGGGCAGCCCTGCCAGGCGCCCTCTCCCTGGTGGAAGAGCACAGGCCGGGGCAGTCCCAACCCCTGTCCTGGCCCCTCCCTGAGACGCTCTCCCCTCGGCTGCCCTCGGCTTGCTCCCCCAGGAGCTGTCCCGATGTCTCGGTGTCCAGGGCCTTGGTCTTCGAGAGGCCTCTTAACGGTGAAGAGCTCTTCCCCTCCCCCTCAGGGACTGGGGGGCAGACGACCAATCCCGAGGCCCCGCGACGTCGCGGTTTCCTTAGATCGGCCTTCCAGGCTCTGCGGCACGTTTAGCTTTGCTCATAAAGCGACAAAATGAACATTCAAAATGACTACAGATCACATGCAAATGACTTACGTGTGACATGCGCTCTCTAAAATACAGGAAAGGAGGCAAAGAAACACTTCTCCTCCTATTTTTTATAACACAGACACTGTGGTGCGAAGGGGCAATTCTTCACCTTTAATCACATCATTACCTTTCCTTACAGTATCTGGAACTCAAATGAAAAACGCACGGCCTTCTGGCACCCAGAGACTTTCCCACAGACACGTCTTTATGGAGATTATTTCTGGGGCCGTTCAAACGCCAGGAATTGCTTCCCACGCGTTGCCCGGACTCAAGAGCACCAACTTCAGCTGTGCAAGCAAAATCCTCGCTATGATTTCCTCTGAAATATTCATCACAGGCCATCGCATTACACAATTACCTACCGGTAACGCAGAGCGCGGCCACGTTAGCATTCACACCACACCCCTGTTTGGGAGCACGGGCTGGAAGCGAGAGCTGTAAATCACATCTCATTTTGCAGCCAAACCCAAGGCACCGATGAGCCTGTTGCTCACCCAGCTGGCTGGGCGCCTGATCTATTATCTCTACGCCGATCTACATTATCTTCTGCCAGATACTTACTGGCATGTGGCTGAGAACATTCCGGCTGGGTAAATGACAAAGGTCACAGTCAGCCAGAGGCAGAGAGTCACACAGTGGATGTCACCTCCACGGCCCTGGGAGGGCTGCTCGGAGGAAGGGACCTTCCACCCAAGGCCTGCTCTGCGGGCCTGGGAATCCGGCTGCTGCCCCCGTACCAATCTTCCTAACAGAAATAAGTCTTTCAAAGTCCAGCAGCAAAGAAGAAACCATGAAATAACAAGATACACAGAAATAATTTTTAAAGATTTTTTATTTATTTATTTGGAAGGCAGAATTATAGAGAGACAGAGATTGGTCTTCCACCTGCCGGTTCACTCCCTAAATGGCCGCGACGGGCCAAGGCCAGCAGCCTGGAGCTCCATCTATGTCTCTCCACAGAGGTGACGCAGCACTCGGGCCATGTTCCTCTGCTTTCCCAGGCACGGCAGCGGGGAGCTGGATCAGAAGTGGAACAGCCGGAATTCAAACCTTGCGTCGGTTAACCCACTGCGTGCCACAACGCCAGCCCCAAAAATAATTTTAAAAAAATTCCTAATGGATATTCATTCTTTGGTTGAGAGTCAGGGTTCTCCAGAGAAACAGAACCAATAGGGAGCAGTGTGTGAGTGTGTGTGTGTGTGTGTGAGTGTGTGAGTGTGTATGTGTGTGTGTGTGTGTGAGAGAGAGAGAGAGATAGAGGCAGAGAACCACTGGCGGATCTGTCGGCTGGTTTATGCACCTGGCGCGTGCGACGGTGCAGGTGAGGACGCAGTTGGACGCCAATTGTGCGTCAGGCCGCCTGCTGGCAGAACTCCTTGCTCGGGGGTCAGTCTGGCCTACCAAGGCCTTCAACCGGCTGGATGAGGCTCCCATACACCATGGAGGGATACCTGCTCTATACAAAGTCTCCAGCTTAAATGTCAATCTCATCCAGAAACACGCAGGTAAGGTGCGACCACACAGCTGGGCCTGGTGGCCCACGAAAGTGACACGTGAACAAACCGTCACAGCCCACAGCCACCCAGATCTCGGTGCGTCTTTAAAGTTGAAAGGTATTTTCCAGAGCTGTGTTCGTAGGCCCCTTTCAATGCCAAAGGGTTGGTTTTCATAGCCAATTAATTAATAAGCCATCAACAGGCCCTGAAGACCTGTAGCTTCCCATGGCTCACGGGTGCGGCAGCCACGCTGGCCTGGCGTCACTGTAACCTTGCTGTCAGCCACCTCTGTGTCTGCCTGCAGGGAGCATGTGTCCTTTCTGGGCAAAAGTGGGCCCCAGCAAGAAGCAAACGCCAGCCATGACCCGGAATTAGATCCTGGAGCGCCAGCGCTCAAGGAGACCACGTGTGACCCGGCACAGGACTGCGGGGCGCCCGACACGGCCGAGACTCAGCGAGAGGGGCTCACACCGCAGGCCCGCGCGGCCACAGCCGCCTGTCTCCTCCATGGATACAACAAAGGCTCCCTTCAAGGCTGCTCGGTCAAAGACTCCATGAATTATACAAGCTCTGAGAGGCTGGGGCCAGCCCCGGCCGCGGGGTTCTGAGCAGGATTAACTTCCTGTGCTAACCTCCGCTGCCCTCCTGACGCTCCCCTCCCGCCTCCCAGACCACAGCAGTGCACGTCTCATGACTGGGCGGTTTTCAAAGACGCTGCATCACCGTCTGGCCTGTGAGCGCCGCGTGGAAGTACTTTTGCTGCCCTGTCCAAACTGACGGAGGCTCTCTGCCTTTCTAATTCTGTCAAGGACATCTGTGGCAAATTCAAAGGAAAAGGATCCTGCTGTGGGCCCTGATTATTTCTTCTTTGAAGCGAGAAATGACATCATGCCAGCCAGCCACTCAAAGCCTCAATTCTCTCTGCACATCAAACTGGGCCCAAGAGCAGCGGGTCAGAGAGCCAGCGCGGGGCTGCAGCTCACGTCTGCCCGTGTCCCGCAAGCACGGGCACCTGTGTGAGCGGAGGCCGGCACATGTGCGTGTCCACAGGCTGGCCTCTGGCGGCTGCAGCCTGTGACGTGCAAAACCCCTGGAGGCCCCACCTCCGGCCCCTGTGCCTGCCGGGCGCCCTCCAGCCAGCTGCTCCCCTGGATCTCCACCACGCTCTCCTGAGACCCCTCCCTGGCCCCTGGCCTGGAAGCCCACACGTCCACCTCCCCCCAGCATCCCATGCTCTAAGATCCGGAGTCGTGCCTCTCACTCTGCACAGCCTCTGCTCCCTGCACACCACCCCCTTCCTGCGTTCTGGGCCTGAAATCCCAAATACACCAGGACACTGCTCTGGGCACACGCCTCCCACAAGCATTCCTAAGGGTCAGCACTCCGCCCTCCATCTCCCAGCACGAGGCTTAAACACAGACACCCTATCCATCCTCTCTGGCCTGCGCCACAGCCCCTGCCAGAGGCTAGGCCCCGCCTAGGAACCCGACTGCCCATCAGCAGGCACCACCACCACCGACTTTCCAGGACAAAGTGCACTGAGCGCAGAGCACAAGATGGGGGCTGAGAGAAGGGGAAGTCCACGGCGCGGTGACGTGTCCACTGTGTGCCAATCTGCAAACTGTGACACAGCCTGGGTTCTGGGGACGCAGCTCCCTCCCCGTGGACAAAGAGCAGGACTCAGCACATCCGGGGCCCAGGTGTGCGCTCCAAGGCACTGCTCTGTGGACACTCACGGGCCACCACTGAGTGAGCCTCAGTGAGCCCACTCCCAGGAGGACGCCCCTGCGTACCAGTCTCCCTCAGCTCACCTGGCACCCACCTCCCTCACTGGCACGGTCAGCTGCAAAGGAGCTTCCTGCAGGGAACACACAAGGGGGCGCTGAGAGGGGGGGACACAGCATCCTGTGACCGACCGCACCTCCATCTACAGCCCTGGGTTCACCTGGACCAGGGGGACACAGCGTCCTGAGACCCCACGAACGCCTGCAGCCCTGGGTTCACCTGGACTGGGGGGACACAGCGTCCTGAGACCCCACCTCCGTCTGCAGCCCTGGGTTCACCTGGACCAGGGGGACACAGCGTCCTGAGACCCCCACCTCGTCTGCAGCCCTGGGTTCACCTGGACCAGGGGGACACAGCGTCCTGAGACCCCACCTCCGTCTGCAGCCCTGGGTTCACCTGGACCGGGGGGACACAGCGTCCTGAGACCCCACCTCCGTCTGCAGCCCTGGGTTCACCTGGACCGGGGGGACACAGCATCCTGTGACCCCACCTCCGTCTGCAGCCCTGGGTTCACCTGGACTGGGGGGACACAGCGTCCTGAGACCCCACCTCCGTCTGCAGCCCTGGGTTCACCTGGACCGGGGGGACACAGCGTCCTGAGACCACACCTCCATCTACAGCCCTGGGTTCACCTGGACCGGGGGGACACAGCGTCCTGAGACCCCACCTCCGTCTGCAGCCCTGGGTTCACCTGGACCGGGGGGACACAGCGTCCTGAGACCCCACCTCCGTCTGCAGCCCTGGGTTCACCTGGACCGGGGGACACAGCGTCCTGAGACCCCACCTCCGTCTGCAGCCCTGGGTTCACCTGGACTGGGGGGACACAGCGTCCTGAGACCCCACCTCCGTCTGCAGCCCTGGGTTCACCTGGACCAGGGGGACACAGCGTCCTGAGACCCCACCTCCGTCTGCAGCCCTGGGTTCACCTGGACCGGGGGGACACAGCGTCCTGAGACCCCACCTCCGTCTGCAGCCCTGGGTTCACCTGGACCGGGGGGACACAGCGTCCTGAGACCCCACCTCCGTCTGCAGCCCTGGGTTCACCTGGACCGGGGGGACACAGCATCCTGTGACCCCACCTCCGTCTGCAGCCCTGGGTTCACCTGGACTGGGGGGACACAGCGTCCTGAGACCCCACCTCCATCTGCAGCCCTGGGTTCACCTGGACCGGGGGGACACAGCGTCCTGAGACCACACCTCCATCTACAGCCCTGGGTTCACCTGGACCGGGGGGACACAGCGTCCTGAGACCCCACCTCCGTCTGCAGCCCTGGGTTCACCTGGACCGGGGGGACACAGCGTCCTGAGACCCCACCTCCGTCTGCAGCCCTGGGTTCACCTGGACCGGGGGACACAGCGTCCTGAGACCCCACCTCCGTCTGCAGCCCTGGGTTCACCTGGACTGGGGGGACACAGCGTCCTGAGACCCCACCTCCATCTACAGCCCTGGGTTCACCTGGACCAGGGGGACACAGCGTCCTGAGACCCCACGAACGCCTGCAGCCCTGGGTTCACCTGGACCGGGGGGACACAGCGTCCTGAGATCCCACAAATGTCTGCAGCCCTGGGTTCACCTGGAGAGAGGGCAGAGCTGCTCACCTCCCAGAAAAGGCCATGAGCGCACTCGCTGCGGCCCACCTGCTAGGTCCCAGCATCACTGACCGGCTCTCCAACAGCTCTCAGCCACCAGAACACCCCGGGGGCGGCAGTGCTGGAAACAGGCACAAGTGTCACAGCCCCGCCCTGCAGTGTCCCCTCTGCCTTTCTGACTGACAGCTCCCTGGGGCGGGGTTGGCCTCGCGGGCTGTGTGTGTTTCCTGCCCAGCTCAGGCCTTGGCACTCGGGGGAGGGGCCGCACACGTCAGGGGGACAGATGGGTCAAGAGCCATCATCCTTTCTTAGCACAGAACAACAACGGTCCTTTGCAACAAGCTCGAGCCCACTCCCACACTGAAGAGCCACTGACTGCGCTGTGGTGGCTTCTGGAAACAAGGCCCTCCCTCCTCCCCAGGCCCGGGTCCTGCTTCTGCACACGCACGGTGGGGATGTGAAGAGCGAGGCTGGGACGGATGAGAGTCCAGGATCACTGCACAGCTTCACGCTGAGCTATTCTGACCTCGACGGCTGAGCCCTAAGGGGGCCTCGGACCACCAGCCCCGAGCACCTTTCTGTCCCCTGGTCAATTAGGCTGTGCACAGCACTTTCCCTGCTCCAAAACCAATTTGAACAAAAAGAATCCACATTCACCTAATAGACATTCTCCAGGGAATTCTCAGATTTAGCAGAAAACAGTGAGAATTTCTTAAAAGCTAGCACAGGGAAAATTATACAGGCACTGCAGCGCAGAGAGACACAGAAGGGAACTTCAACACGAGCCGCCCACTCGTCACCTCGGTCCCCACCCCACGACCACTGTGACGACCCTCGGTGCCAAGGCCCCTGCCAGCACCGAGTCTTTGCAAAGTGTGTGTGTGAGGCCAGCGCTGTGGCACAGCTGGTAAAACGGCGGCCTCCGACGCAGACATCCCACGTGACTGCCACTTTGAGTCCTGGCTAAGCTACTCAGATCCAGCTCTCCGGTAATGCACCTGGGAAAGCAATGGAAGATGCCTACCACCACCCGTGGGAGAGCTCGGATGGGGCTCCCGGCTCCCGGCTTCGGCCTGGCCCAGCCCCCGCCATTGCAGCCATGTGCAGAGTGGAGCCACAGATGAAGGCCTCTTTTCCTCTGTCACTCTTTCAAATAAATAAATAAAATCTTTAAATTGCACATAGTGTGCGTGTTGCTTTGAGTGCAGTGTGATTTACAAAAGCAAACAAACAAAAAACAACACTTTCAGACAAGACTTTTCAAAAGCAGCGAGCCTAGAGTAAAACCTGCAGCCCTCGGCCCTCCGTCAGGACCCCGGGGCATGGGTGTGGCCAACCTGGCCTGCTCTGAGCAGCCCCGCGCCCACCGCGCTGCTCTTCCACAGCAAACACACACGGGTGACTCAGCAGCACGCACGGCGCGACGCCACGGCCACGCTGTGGAGTGAACGGGAATCCCCGACGCAGCCCACGCGGCTCCCCACGCGCTTCCTCGCCTGCGCTCTGCTCTCTGAGCGCCACAGCAAGGGCGCGTGCTGCCTGCCGGGCAGGTCCCTCCCCTCCTTCCAGACTTCCTGCCCAGGAGGCCGCCCCTGGGCTTTGGCTGGCTTCAGTCCGGAAGCCAGTGCACCTGTCTCCCCTTTCCTGGAACTTCTGAGCTGGACCCAGGTCTCAGGCTGACTCACGTCGGGGGCTGTGTGCGAGGAAAACCCGCTGCAGGCACTGTGTCCTCCCTCTGCAGCCGCCGCGGGGGCAGGCTGGCTGTGGCTCCCGGGCAGCGGGTCCAGCTGCCAGGCTGAACCGTCCGTCATGAGCTCCCCTTCAAGCTCCCTCGAATGGCCTGGCGCCGCCGGGGGTGAGCACCGCCTGCACCCGCTGCTCCCTCAGGGCACATGCGACGCCTCCCCTGCCCGTCTGTGCACCTGCTTTTCTGAGGAGGGGGCGGCACTGCCCCCCACACGGGCCAGACGAGCGGAACGCGGCTTCAGTGTCCACTCGCACTGACCTCTGGGTTCCCAAGCAGCCTTCAAGGGTGAACGAGGACGGGTTTCGCGCTGGAAGCGCTCTGTTTAAAAGTCACTACCAATTCGCAGACAGCAGGAGACGCTCTGTTAGCTGCCATGCTAACTCCTCCTGGCGCTCGCCGTCCCGCTGGGCAGGAGCCCTGGAACGCGGGCTCCCACCTGACCCTGTGGCTGGGAGAGGCTCCTTGCCTTCTACACGGGGCACCCCGAGCCGTTCTGGAATCGCCTCCTCCTCCTCGGGGAGCCCTGGTTCCCTCTGTGGAAACGGTGTGGGGCGGGGCCATTCTCAGTGGGGTCCCGGGTCCAGGCATTCCCAGCAGAGAGGGCCAAGAGCAGGAGTTTGCTTTTCTAAAGGGAGCAGCGCACTGCGATTCACACTGAGTCTCTATGTATATTTAAGATTATAGGGTTTTAAAATTTCTTCTTTGATTTTATGCTTGATTTTCTTCTGTTAAAAAAATCTGACTTTCTATAATATTATCATAATTACTTATTTGCTTTATTCCAATATTTACGTATATAAATATATATTTCAGTAAATATGCATGTAAATAAGTTTCAAAATAGCACTAATGCTATTATTAACAATCTGATGACTGAGCAGTGCTTTAAAATTTTTTTTGCAATTCTTTCTGTGCTAACAAATCCTGCTAGGGCTTTACATCAAACCACTTGAAAGTCTATTGGAAGCAATTTTTCTTCATTTGATTAAAGCACCCACTTGATATATAGTATGGGTTCCTTTTTTATTTAATTTTATCCGTGGTTTTGAAGGATAGCTTTCTTATTTTTATTTGGTTTTATAGCTGTATAAAGCAATACATGATTCCAAACTGAAAACCCGTAAGGCCGGCACGTAGTCTCAGCAGGTAAGCCACTTCCTGCGATGCCAGCCTCCCGCACGGCGCCGATTCACAGCCTGGCTGTTCCACTTGCAGTTCAGCTGCCGGCCAGGCGTGTGGGAAAGCAGCAGAGGATGGCCCAAGAGCTTGGGCCCTGCACCCACGTGGGAGACCGGGATGAGGTTCCAGGCTCCCTGCCCGTTACAGCCACCTGGGGAATGAGCCATCCGTCTGTGTCTCTCCCTGTCACTGGGCCTTCCAGAGAAATCAGCCTTGAAAAGCAAACAGAGCCAGCTTCACCTGTGCCCTCCCCGAGACTGCACCCTTCTCCAGTGGTTCTGGCTTGTCCCTTCGATGGCTCCTGCTCAGTCAGGAACGTAAGCGGCAGGAGTGCGGGTGCCCCGCTCGGGCACCCAGTCAACAGTGAGCCGAGCCGATCACACCCCTGCCCTGCGCCTGCTTCCCCGGGACACAGCAGCTCGCAGCGAGACGCGCGCACCCTGGCAGGACTCCAACGAGGGGTCCACAGCTGAGGCACACGGCTCCAGGCTGTTGCCTATCTGCGATGTCGCTGGTCTTCAGCGAGTTACAAACAGCACTGCCCTTCTGCATTTCACACATCCCCATTCACCCTGCGCAGGGTTCCTGGACCACCAGGTAAGAGCGCCTGTTACCTGCCAGACGGCACGACACACTCCCCTGCGTTCACCCTGACGGGCCCCTGCTCTCCACCTGCGCAGCACTGCCTGACCTCACGGCTGCCGGCCACCTCCTTCCCCGCCCTGCTGCTGCGTCAGCAGAGTCGCTGCAGGTGACCGCCCTCCTTTCTGGCATGACCAGCGCACAAACACCATCGCGTACACACCACCACCATGCAGGGAAAACGAGTCATTTCGAGGTCGTTGTAGATTCACACGCAGTCCTAAGAAACAACACAAAGCAGCCCATGGGCCCTGCACTCAGGCAAGGCCCCGTCAGGAACTCACAAATGACCCTCACAAGACTCAAATCGGGGCCTCCGACCACCGTGCTCACCCAACCACCTCCGACCTCACAGCCAGCTGTTTACCAAGTCACTTACCCGCGACTGACTGCTTATGTGACAGCTGGTTGGCTTGCACTGCGCGCCCATCCACACACACGTATGTGTCCCTTCACAGCAGGGTGCCCTCCACATGTGCTGACATGGAAGCGGTCTGACCTCTTCTATGTAAACTCCAGTGTCCTCCCATCTCCGCAGGCCGGGTATGTGAGGACGTGTCGTTCAGATCCTTGGCCACTGCTCTGCCCTTCCTATCTGCTAAGTCCACAGGGATGTCCCCCAGTACACCCGCACTCCCACAGACCTGGGCTTTGCGTCCCCTTGGTTTCAGGATTTAGGATGAGACGTCACCAGGGAGCGGGGCAGCGAGGTACAGAGCCAGCTCGGCACCTCCTGAACACAGGGACGTGAGGCGCCCTCACGAGGACAGGAGGCTGGACTCCGCAGACACTTCACGCCTTCCTGTGTGCTTCCGAGAGGTCTTCCAAACCCTACAGCCCACTGAGGCTCCCTACTGTGAAAAAAAACTATTTAGAATAATTGACCCGCTTTTTCCCAAGGAGACTGGGCCACGCAGCCATCTTGCAGGCCAGATGATCTTTATCTGCAGAGCTGGCACCTGCAGAGCTGGCAGGCAGGTGCGCCGCCTGTGAAGAACTCCCAGGCTCAGCACTCGAGGTCACCATGCCCGGAGGAGGCAGATACACCTCGACGCGGCCAGGAGGGTGACCAGCCGGGAAACACACACAGAGGCCGCTCCGGGATCCCTCTGGTTCTAGTCACGGAAATGTTAGTCACTACTACACACCAAAGAGGGGTCTTCAAAATGTTTTCATCGAAATGCACGTTATGAAACAACCACGCACGGATTTCTTTCTAAATGTCGCCGCGCCAAGGTGGACTGCACCGGCTCGCCACGGCCTGTCTGCACAGGACCGAGTCAGCGGCGGCAGGAAGGGAATCTCTCAGCCTGGAAAGAGCCGCCAGCACAGCAACGTGAATTCTGCTGCAACGGAAGCAAAAACGTCAAATTTACGCGGAAGCACAGGGGGAAACAGAGAAACTGCTGAGACTTCACAGGAAGTTTACAGGGACAGGGTCCCAAATCAATCAGCAGTTTACAAGGGGACACTTATTTTAAGGAAAAAGCCAAAGTTGAACATCAAGCCCACAGTGGCAGGCCACCCATACGAACTCTGAGGGAGGAAAAATGCAGCCTGCTCACGCTGCAGCCGGAGACCATCGTGGATCCACAGCAGGAGCCACGGCCACAGCCCGGCCTTCTCAACAGCTCACACAATTCTGCCTGAAACAGGCAAGTGCAGCGAACTCCTGGCCAGATGGGCGGCGTCGCACCCAGCTCAGCCACACATCACCAGAGCTTTCTTCAAAAAAAAATCATTTATCTGAAAGGCAGAGTTACAGAGAGAGGGAGAGACAGAGAGATCTTCAACCCACTGGTTCACTCCCCAGATGACCAAGATGACCGGGGCTGGGCCAGCTGAAGCCAGGAGCCAGGAGCCAGGAGCTCCTCCCAGGTCTCCCACGTGGGTGGCAGAGGCCCTAGCACGCGGGCCATCTTCACTGCTTTCCCAGGTGCACTAGCAGGGAGACGGCTCAGAAGTGGGGCAGCCGGGACTTGAACCAAGGGCCCACCTGGGGTGCCAGCATCTCAGGCCACGGCTTAACCCAGTGCTCCACAATGCCCATTCCAGGAGCAGAGCTGTCAATGAGAATTTCCAACCAGTGAGCTCGAGACTGAAGCATTTCTGGGAAGAACCGTGACAGACACGGCTGCACCGGGAGAAGACGGCAGAGGACAAGCACCTGTACTTCAGAAGGAGCGTCCTGAAGACCAAGCACAGCCAAAGCAGTGGCTACCAGGAGGTGCGGCGCTCCAGGAGAAAGACTGGACGGGTCGAGAGCACGGCTCAGACAAGGTTTCTGGGACGTGTGACTCTGCAGAGCCAGGAAGACCACATCTGCTTCGAAAGAGTGTTCTTGTTAGGGAGGAAGGCAGACACGAGCCTACGTGCGTGACCGGGGCTGAAGGGAAAAGACAGAGTTCCTGCAGGAAGGAATGGGGCCGCCTTCAAAGCGTGTCTTGGAAGCAGCCCAGCATCTCACACGGCAAAGTCCTTCCTGTGCCCCAGTCACCTTGTAGGTGGGCCCAGCCTTCCCCTCCTGGGAAACACCCAGGACAATCCTCCCAGCCCTGAGCCAGGAGGACCACCCGGCCTGGTGACACAGGGTAACGAACCTTTGGAGGAAGTTCACACCCACGAAGCCCCTTGTCCGAGCAGGGGACCGGGGGAACCCCACACCCAGACAAGCTGCAGTCTGACCAGGCTGGGCACACTCCCCCAGACGCATCTGAAGAGCTGCCCACGCGCCCGGCCGGATGAACGGCCCCATTCAGCTGTGCCTGCCTGCTGTCGGCTACTCTCCGTCTCACCCGCGGGAGCCACGACCACAAAAGTGAGGAAGCTACCCGAAGCTGCGGCGCTGAACACCCAGGAGAGCTTCCCCAGAGTCACCGCGACGGCGCGCCTGCTCGCGCCTCTCACCAAGCCAGGGCAGCTGTGTGAGCTCCCACGCCCAGGGTCAGGCTCCGCCCCGGTGCTGGCTCACCTCTGTCACGGGGCCATCATGCCCTTTGGACTTCCAGCCTCCAAAACTATGAGCTGAATGAACCTCTCTTTTTCTTCCATAAGTAGCTGGTTTCAGGTATTTTGTCCAAAAAAAAAAAAAAGCTGGCTCACACTCGCCAATCTTCCGGGAGTGAAACGTCTGTGTTTCCTTATTGAAATGGCTGTGCCATGCTCTCAACGGCCCCCTTCACAATAACAACAAGTCCCGAGGATGTACAGCACTGCCCCTCGGTTTCCACACACAGTGGTTTGCACACCACGGCTGAGCCCACGCTGGCTGCGAGTCGACCACCTGATGGGACCGCCGTCCGCGTGCTCACTGACACTCAGTCACTCACCAGCAGCTCCAGAGAAAAGCTCCAGGGCCAACACTGTGGCTCAGCGGGTTAAAGCCCCAGCCTGCAGTGCCGGCACCCCACATGTGCGCCACTTAGAGTCCCGGCCGCTCCACTCCCGATCCAGCTCTCTGCCACGACCTGAGAAAGCAGTGGAGGATGGTCCAAGTGCTTGGGCCCCTGCGTCGATGTGGGAGACCCGGAAGCTCCTGGCTCCTGGTTTCAGGTCAGCTCACCTCGGGCCGTTGCGGCCATTTGGGGAATGAACCAGCGAATGGAACATTCTCTCTTTCTCTGATCCTACCTCTCTCTGTAACTCTTTCAAATAAATAAAATAAATCTTTAAAAAATAATTAAAAAAAAAAAGCTCCACGGGGCCTCGTGCCACGTGGGAGATACGCGTCCCAGCTAGAGCCGGCTAACGGTGGACGAGGCTGCGCCCTGAGGAGGAAGCTCACCATCAGCACGGTGCCCCAGGGAGGCTGCACCAGCGAACACACTTGCGATTCTCACCCTTTTCCCGTCCTGATTTTAAAAGCGGAAATCTTGCATCACAGATGGAAACGCATCCTGTCCTTCCCGGGAGATGCGAGGAGAGGTGATACACCTGCCAAAGGCAGGGCCTGCAGAACCAGACGCGACAGCAGGCTTCTTGCCACGGCCCCGCCACGGCCCCCTGCTGAGCGTAGGCACAGAATGTGGGGAGTAACGCCCCGGAGGGTCAGAACAAGCAACCCCAGGCCTGTCACAAGGGCTAAGTACAAGAGGCTGCGGCAGGGCAGGAACCGCGGAGACCACGACACAGCTGTGCGCCAGCTTCGGGCAGCTTCTCCCGCTCCGTCCCAACCACAGCCGCGGGCATCACCGCCCTGCCTCCAGGAAGAGAAGCCCCAAGGCCTCCCCAGGGAGCCGTAGCAGACCTGCAAAGGTGTCAACGCCCCGCTGCCAGGTCTCGCAGGGCCGGCTCCCCGTGCCAGGGCCCCACACTCCGCAGCTGGACACACGGCAAGGGCAGCGTGTCCAACCAGTGACTGAGTGGAGCTAGAGCCGGGGCAGACCCTCGGACCCCTCAGCAGGGGAGACGCCATCGGGAGCCACCCCGACAGGGAGGCAGCAGGTGTGCGGCCAGGCCAGGCCTCCGGATAACTCCAGAGCCACAGCAGCCTGGGATCGGGGGACAAGGGGAGCACTGCCCTGCACACCTCCACCACCGAGGGCCCGTGTCCACAGCCTGGGATCGGGGGACAAGGGGAGCACTGCCCTGCACACCTCCACCACCGAGGGCCCGTGTCCACAGCCTGGGATCGGGGGACAAGGGGAGCACTGCCCTGCACACCTTCACCACCGAGGGCCCGTGTCCACAGTCTGGGATCGGGGGACAAGGGGAACACTGCCTGCACACCTCCACCACCGAGAGCCCGTGTCCACAGCCTGGGGTCGGGGGACAAGGGGGGCACTGCCTGCACACCCCCACCACCGAGGGCCCGTGTCCACAGCCTGGGATCGGGGGACAAGGGGAGCACTGCCTGCACACCGCCACCACCGAGGGCCCGTGTCCACAGCCTGGGATCGGGGGACAAGGGGAGCACTGCCCTGCACACCGCCACCACCGAGGGCCCGTGTCCACAGCCTGGGATCGGGGGACAAGGGGAGCACTGCCTGCACACCTTCACCACCGAGGGCCCGTGTCCACAGCCGCGCCTGGAGCAGGCCGAGTCCCCGGCAAACGTCCACGCTCACCACAGGAGGAAGGAGGGGTCGTCCGAGCAGAAGACACAACCAGTGTGAGTGTGCGACCAGGCTGCAGGCTGGCCAGTGGGGACTCTGCTGGACTCCCACCCAAACACACGCTCTCCCCTTCCTCTCTGATGAGCGTGCAGCTGGGCCAAGGGCACCAGGACTAAGTAGGAGGTCACCTGCCCCAGGTGGTCATGTGACGGAGTTCTAGCCAATGAGATGCAAGCTCAAGTGTACCCTGCTCCGCCACCTCCACTTTGCTGCCAGCGAGGATGCTGCCATGACGGCGGAACCCGAGCTGCCCTCCTGGACTGCAGGGAGCCCATCCAGGAAGGCAGAGCCCTGACACGCCTGCCCTTGACCGCAGAGGGCCACGGACAACGACCTCTGCTCTCCATCCTGGCAGGGGAGGCGTCCCTCCGTCCTGGGCAACCTCTTTGGTTTGGTCCCCCTCCCCTCCACCTGGGTCACAGCCAGGCAAACCAGATAGGGGCGGGGAATGAAGGGAAGGGGAGGAGACTACACGGGACATGCAGAGAGCGAGCCAGCCCCTGCCCCCGCCCCCGCCCCCGCCCGCAGCACACACCCCTTCCCTCGCCTTTGAGGAAGCCGCTCCGTGATTTCAGGCCTGCTTTTAAACCTCCAAATGCAGGGGGACCTGGCGCTGTTCTCTTTGCACTGCTGGCTTCTACTTTAAACACAGCACGATCAAAATATATATATATATATGCCGGCCCCAATTTGCTGGGATTTGCTGCCACTTGCTTTGTGGCCTCACACGTGGTCGACGTGTACAAAGGCCGCATGTCAGTGTGTACGGCCAGGCGCAGGGCTCTCTCTGCAACCACTCAACTCACCCACGGCTGCACGCCCAGTACTCTAATCCTCCACCTTCCCATTTGTTACTGCGGCTGCCCGTCAGCCTGACAGATCAATTAACGGGAAAGGTAAGTGCAAATCTCCCGTTATGATTACGGATCTGTCCATCTATCTTTGTAACTGGCAAATTTGCTTACTGTAGTATAAGGCTAAGTTTCTTGGGTGCATGTAGGTTCAGAGCTGTTACATCCCCCGCCTGACTCACTCCTACTGTTATGTACAGCCTTCTCAACGCGTTAATACATTTTGTCTTGAAATCCACTTTGTCCGACACCAGCATAGGTGCTGCTACTTTCTTCAATTAAGTTTCCTCTATCACACGCCTTTCCATCTATGAAATTTAAAACATCTGTGTCCTTGTATATTCTGTGTGTCAGTCATGAGAAGCACCCGCCCACGCCCGCTCGCCACCTCCCTCACCTAGGCCGCGGAGGCCGCTCTGCTCTCTCGCAAGCGCTCGCGTGTTCCTGGTCCTCCGTGAACACTGGGGTCCTGGGGGTGCCGGGATACGCCCCCCTTAAAGCTCAGCTCACTGCAGGCCTCCCCCTTCCACCCAGGAAGCCGCCCCGTCCCCTGAAGCCCGGGCGGAGCACCTGGGCTCTGCACTGCACCTTTCGTTCAGCCTGGTTCATCCTGGAGGCCTGGGCCTGGCCCGGAGTAGACGCTCTCAAGAATATGAAGAGTAGGGCAGGAGTAGGGGCCCTAACAGCCAGGCCTTAACCCACGGGCAGCGGAGGTGGGACGACTCCCGGGCGGCAGCGTCTGTCCCAGCACTGCTCACAGGCCCCCGAGCAGCTGCTACCCAAAGGCGCCCTGCAGGAGCCAACACACAAGGACAGACAGGGTCTTCAATAAATCCATGCCTCTGTTTTTCCAAACCTACAACAGAAACGTAAATTATTCACTTGAGCGGATGTAGCTTAGGAATGAGGACACAGACATGTTTTCCTGATAAGCCCACTGCTCTCCAGAGAAAACAGTTTCAGAGTTGCCTGGGCAGGGCTAAGACTCAGAATTAACAGAGAACCTCCTTCCCGGCCTCCAGAGAGGTCATGGAGACATCCCCAACCAGAAACCTCCAAGGTGGCCAAACTTTCACCGGAGTCCCCCTAACAGATGTGGTGACGCCTGAGGGGCCCGCAGGCGGCGTCACTGAGCTGCCGGGCCCAGGACGGGACAGGACGGGACAGGACGGGAGCACCGCCGAGCTCAGCTCCACTGCTCTGGACCAAACAGCACACTTCAGAGTCTTCCAGTTCTAAGTTTTGTACCAAACGACCGCGGCACAGCGTGTTCCAGGCCCCCTGTGTGCAGAACAGCTGTCCGCCCGCAGTAACAGGAGGCGGCTCACGTGGCACTCGTGCGTCTGTGGCTGATTTGTTACATGAGCAGAGCAGCTTCCTCCCTGTTGCCGGCCTGGCATCTGGCTGCCAGGCCACCTTGCTGGGACCACCACAGTGTCTGATGGGGCGTCCTGGACCCACAGCCGCACCTGCCCCAGCCCATGCTGGCAGAGGGAGCCCTGTGGAAAGAACCCTGAGGCAGCCGAGACACGCGTGAACAAGGGGCACGGGCTTGGGTCTCGCACGGCCTTGGCAGGGTCCCCGCAGGGTCCTGGCAGGGAGAGCTGCACGATGAATTCCCGAACGGCA